CTGCTATATATTGTGCTTGAGATTTTTCCTGGCTTTAATTCCTTAACTGATAGAGCAAAACCCAGTCAAAACCCCTAGATTGTAACCAGTAGCCTTGGCACTGAACAGGCTATATTTCACAGCCCCTTCCCAGAATGGGCCTTTTGCTGCTTCCTCATGCACTGTATATATGACTTCTGTTCCTGTGTTCCCATTAAGCTAGCAAAGAGTGGGTCACAGAAGCCAGTTCTGCAGGCAGTCAGTAGACTGAGAAACAGTCACCTTGAAGATGAACAACGTGATGGAGTGACAGATGTCTAGAGCAAGTCATGACAACTGTCACAGCAGAGTGAATGAGAAAACACTGTTCTAACAGCATGAGGATTGGGGATTAAGGATACTAAGAAGCAGCCAAAGAGGCAGGAAAGACACTTCCCCACTGGGAACTTATGGTGGGGAGGACTCTGCCTACATCTCACTTTGGTTGTCCGGCTCCCAATACTGTCAGAATGAGCATGTACTACTTCATGCCACCTTGTTTCTGGGAATTTGTTATGGCTGCCAGTGTAATGTTAAGGCCCATGGCTCAGGAGAATTGAGCCAGGCCTGTCTGTTTTAAGATACTTAATAAACATATGGAGCTTTGTGGGTAAGGGGAGAATTTTTCAGGTATCCAAGAGGAAAAGAAAAGCACTGTGTAATGAGGAAAAGTAAGAGAGACCTTGGATTTCTCATCAGCTGCTGGGTGTTGAAGGACACTGAAAAATAACCATAACGTCCACAAACATCATCCAAGTCTACAAAACCCAAGCAAGACATTGTTCCAGTGTGAAGACCTCAGTAGACATCTGGGAATGTGGACATGCCAGGAGAAGATGGCACCCATGCTGGGGTACAGGCTGAGTTCCCCTGAGAGGACCTCAGGTCCCAGTACAGAAGCTGGCTGTTTGTGGGCCAGGTGAAGAGTTTGGACCTGAGGTTGGTGGGAGGTGATGAACTCACTTCCCTGTAGGATGCATCAGCCATTGTGGGAAATACAGTTCTCAAACGCAAACCCCTGAGCCAATGAGATGGTTCCACCATGGCAAGAGTTCCTGTTGCCAAGCAAGACAACCTGAGATTAATCCCTGGTACCCACATGATGGGAGGGGAGAAGCAACATTCACAGGGAAGTGTGTCTTAGTCAGTGTTCTATTGCTGTGAAGAGACACCATGACCACAGCAGCTCTTATACAGGAAAGCATTTAATTAGGGCTGGCTTATAGTTCAAAGGTTTAGTCCATTGTCATGATGGTGGAAGGCATGGTGGCAGGCAGGCAGATATGGTACTGAAGAGTAGCTGAGAACTCTATCATAATCTGCAGGCAGAGAGAGAGGGAAATAGAGAGAGAGACTAGACAGGCCTTTGAAGCCCCAAAGTTCACCCCCACTGACATATTTTCTTCATTAAGGCCACATCTCTAACCTATATCAAATAATACCATTCCCTAATGACTAAGCATTTAAATCTATGAGCCTATGGGGGACATTTCTATTCAAACCACCACAAAGTGTATGTGTATACACACACATATACACATGTGTATATATGCAGGAGATATATACATATATACATATAAATATATATGCATATATACATATATACACATATACATACATGTATATATACATATATATACATGTAATATATACATATACATGTATATATACATATATGTATATGGCTCAGCAGTTAAGTGTGACTGCTGCTCATCCAGAGGAGCCAAACTCAGTTCCCAGCACCCTTATTGGGTAGCTTACAACAACCTGTAATTTCAGCTCCAGGGGATCCAATACACTCTTCTGGCTTCTGGGAACACACACAGACACACACGCACACACCCACACACTTACTTTTGTTTTTAATGTGGAACTAGGGAGATGGCTGGGTTGATAAAGTCCTATGTAGGCATGCGGACCTAAGTTTGGATCCATCACTCCCACATAAAAATCTGGGCACAGTAGTGCACATTTATAACTCCAGCACTTGGAAGGTGGGTAGTGGAGACAGGCAAATCCCTGGAACTGATAACCCAGTCAGCCTAGCTGAATCAAAGCACCCCCAGTTCACTGAGAGACCCTGTCCCAAAAACTAAAGGAGAAAACAATTGTGGAAGACACCAGACATCAACCTCCATGTGTGTGTGTGTGTGTGTGTGTGTGTGTGTGTGTGTGTGTACATGGGTACAGATTTTGTTTGGGTAGACCACACACAGACTTCTTCTCATTATTCCATAAATAATATACCATAATAATAAAAATATACCATAATAATAATATCATAGAATTTACATTGCACTAGATACTTACCGTGAAGAAGTAGTGTGATATGTCACACAGGATCCTGGGTTCATGGGTCAACCCAGTGGTCTATTGCTGTGTTGCTGTAAAGAGACACCATGACCACAGCAGCTCTTATAAAGGTCAACCTGGTGATCAGCAAGGCTGGTGTGGCATGAGGTGAAGCTTACTGGAGATAAGCTTAGCATTCACTCAGACTCCGGCTCAGACTCTCACACACTGGAAGACTTGACAGGCTCTGACTTAACAGGGCCTGTGAGCAGACTGAAGGAGAAGGTGGGAAGACCACTTAGGAAGAAATGACAATGACATGGGCCACTCTGATCCCCTTGTACCACCCATGTAACATTGAGGGGAGGAAGAGAAAGCTCACTGAAGATTTACCCTGAGCAAATGTTACAGAACTATGTTAACTTAGATGGCAAAATCCTGTGGATCTGGCAGATTCCTTTCTAGTTACGTATATTTATTTCCTGGGTGCTACCTCTCCTGTCATGTGACATCTGTGCCTCTGTCTTTATGAGAGTTCTCTCTCACAGAGAATGCCAGTCAGGCTGCATTAGGACCCTACCTGATGATTTCATCTTAACTTGATCAGCTCTGACCAATTTCTAAATATTGTTCCACTCACAGAGACAGGAGTTTGGACCTAACACCTGTGGTGAGGAGAAATCCAGATAGAGATGTTGGATAAGTAAAACCCAAGCCTAGGGGTAGGTAAGCCTGGGGATCCTTAGCACAGTGCAAGCAAGCAAAAAACTCCACAGGCTCCATGACCCTGAGAGAAGGCACAGCAGAAACTTCTGCAGACTTGGAAGAGTGCCAGAGAGAGACTGTGTGTCACCAGAAGGAGGAAAACCTAGGAAGGGTGGTATCCTGGAGTCATGAGGAGAAAGGGAAACGGAACCAAGTTAGAGATAGAAAGTTGTGGGCCTGAACAAAGCTGAGGGTGCTCTAATTGTTGATTAGAGGTCTTGGGTTAAAATCTTGCCTGCCTAATAGCATTATCTGTAGCTTGTGTAACTGGATGTTCAAGCCTGAAGACTTTAACTGCTTATTCTGTGCTTGATTCTAAAGTCTGTGTTTATTTACTAAACAGTCTGTGTTTGGACTGAGGCTAGCTGCTAGGTGGATAGCACACTCCACCCTCTGGGGAGCCATTGTTTACTGGAGAGATGGGTCAAACAATTAACATACAGGGCAATAGCTTAGTGCCAGTAGCCACCAGGAACTGCAAATTAGATAGAATTCTCACCCACTAGAACGGGAAAATAGGGCAGAAAAGAAATAGCCACCAACTTTCAGAGAGGGCATGGAGCAAATGAGCCTAGTGGGCCATAACACATTGCCATAGGGTTACAGCTCACACATCTAGGTGTGAGAACTTCTCCATTTCTTTTTATTTAAAAGGCATCTACCCTTTGACCCAGCAGGTTTCATTCCCAAGAGAAATAGAAACACATCCACAAAAAGACAGAAATGTCCAGGCAGCCTTAGTTATCATAAGCTTCCCTCATATCATATCTACCACCGCTTCCCTCAAGAGAGGCAGAGACAAGCAATGGATTGCAGCCTGGTGGTAGAAAGAAAAGAGCAGATACTCCACAGCATGTAAGAGTCTCAATGCAGCTGGGCAAAAATAGAAGAAAACCACATGGTTCCAGAATGTTCAAGAACAGAGGAAACTCACCTGTTCTGATAGAAGACAGAAGAAACTGGTATCTCCCAGAAAAGAGGGGCAAAGAAGACAAATGGTATGTTTAGGTATAATCTAGGTTTTAGGGATGCCTTAGCTTGTGCATAGAACCTGCCCAAACTCACCATCAGATGTCTGGCAATTTGAGCTTGTGTTAGAGACGGGGTCTCACTGTGTACCCAGCCTAGCCTAGCTCCAACTCAGCACCCTCCTTCTCTAACCTGTGTATTGTTGGGATTGCAGATATCTACCACCACTGTCTTTTCATGATATCAAAATTAGACTTTAATAAAGCTAAAAAAGAGACACCTGTTTGCTGGAGTCAACGCTCAGTGGTTAAGAGCAATGGCTGCTCTTGCAGGGGACCCAGGTTCAGTTCCCAGCATCCACAACAGCAGCCCACTAACATCTGGAATTCCAGTTCCAGGGGTTCTGACATCCTCTGCTGAACTCCATAGGCACCAGCACATATGTGGTGCATTTAATACATTCAGGCAAAATACACTTGAAATGAAAGTACATTCTTAATAAGGATGCATTTATGATGGATATCTTCAGAGACTCAGCAAGGAGATGAAGTAAAAACCAATTCCTGGGGAAAGGACACCACAGTGGATTTAATACTCCAAGAAATATTTGGAAAAGCAAGAAATTTCTTACCAAGGATGAACCTGTGCAAAATTCTAGAAGTGACTATAAAGAACCGGCCACGTTATTGAGTATTAGTGACTCGAAATGCCCCCTGTTTAACAAACCTCTCTGGAAGGCTCCTGAGGTATCGTCTGAGGCAAATCCCCCTTGGCTCTTGTAGTAGCATCTTCTGAGGCTGTGTCAGGTTTCCCATATGACCTTATATATCATCTAACGTTTCTCCCTATGTCAGTATGGATATTTTGTTTTTCACTGATAAATAAATTGTTGTGCTTGGTACTTCTACAAATAATTTGAAGCTTTCCAATTTTTTTTTCTCCTTAAAAACCAAAAGGTACAGATTCTTGTGGACACTGGAAGCAGTAACTTCGCTGTGGCAGGTGCCCCACACTCCTACATAGACACCTACTTTGACTCAGAGAGGTGAGTGGCTTACACACAGCTACAGGGGCTGGCCTAGCAGTGAGGCCTGGACTGGCATCTTTGAGAATGTACTGGAACAAAACAGTCAGAAGGCCATCTGTCTCATTTCGAAGGAGCTGTATTCACATGTGCATGTTTGTGTATCTGAATGTGTGAGTGTGTGAGTGTGTGTGTGTGTGTGTGTGTGTATCAATGCACACATCACATGCACATCTTCTTGCAGAGAATTTGTATCAGGTTCTGCTAATAGCCTTGGGGAAATCACCTTATGAAATTTCAAGTGTAACACATTCCTTGTTTATACAGAAGCTACACTTCGCAGTGTGGAAAGTCGTTGGAGAGGAAGCCCACCCACGTGTGTTCCACCCACTGCATATCAGGCTCCACTCAGGTGCCAGGAATACCAGGGTCTCATATTTGCACAGCTGAAGAGAGGACAAGGACTACCTGTCCCAGGTGGCACCTCATAGCATCTCTGTATATTAGTGCTGGCCCCTCCCTCCAGGAACACAGAGCTTCCATATGGCATGTGTGTGGAGCGGATGGAGTTCCTGTGTGTGTGCGCCCATGTGCCAGCAGGTTGGGTTTTGATGCTTTTGCTGTCTTGTCCTGGTCACACTGGTGGTTCACCTTGGCATCTGTCTCTATACATCTCCCATCCCTGCCCCCCGCCCCCCATCACAGCCTCTAGACTGCAGGACATTGTTGTTCCAGATCATTCCTGTTTAACCCTGTAGCCTGGGAAGTGAAGGAATAAGGAGTCTTCCTGAATTCCAGCTTCCTGACCTTAGCCTTGTACAAATGCCTTGTAATGAGATCAAAGGCCATTTAACTACCCCATACACAATTCTTGTGAGTTTGAGGTGATGCCCGTATTGCATATCTGATCCAAAAGACATGCCATGCCCGCAAACCTGAAACACTTTGAGCAACCACAAGATTCTGCAAGTGTCAAGTTCCACTACCGACCACAGGTCAGTCACAACACAAATGCACCAAAAATACTATCTACAGTGACCTTAAGGCCACTTGTGTAAGATATGCGTGACACAAATAAAGTTTTCATCTAGATGTGGGTCCCCGTTCCCAGGTATCTCAGTTTGTATATGAAAACACTCCAGAAAACCTGAATTTGAAATACTTCTGGTCTCAAATATTGGGGAAATCTACGCCAACATGCCTGGATGAGGGTCAGGAATGCGGTGGCATGAGTAAGGTACTCAGTACATCATAAGAGCGTGCCAATGAGAGACATGTGGAGGATGCCGGATGCTGCACACCAGTGTGTGGATGTGGGCTCCATGGGACACAGACTCTGCAGAGGGCAACTGGCTTAGACTGGTTACTGGGTTACTTTGGGTGGTTGATGGGATTTTCCAAAATGAAGAACAATCCTCATGAGCTTAAAAATAAAGCATCATGTGGCTTCTATTTACATATTAGTTAATGTTCCAATGTATGCTAAGTCTTCCCAGAGGTCTCCAGGCTCAGATAAACAAGTAGCTTTCCACCCACACTCATGCCATGGAACTTGAGGAAGCCCTGTGGCAGGCAGATGATTCTGAGTTTTAAGGGATACCCTGCCTCTTCTAGGATTACAGCATTCCCGACACTGACCTACCAGCAGCCCAAAACAGGGCAGCACCTTCCCTTCCGAGACCCATTGCCTTGCAGACCAAGAAGTCCTAGATCACAGATCTGGAGCAGATACACAGCCCACCACCCCAGTGGTGTAGAATTCCATTCCTTATCACAGACCTGTTGGCATAAGATCCAGAAGAAGGGGAGCAGTAAAACTGGAGCTGGTGTAAATTAGGTTGATGTGGACACAGGTGCTTACGGTGCACTGCAAAGGCAAGGTCCTACCACAAGGCAACCACCTGCAGCCCCTTGGCAGCTTCATTTTCAGCTCCATCAGAGCCAAAGTGCACCCAGGGATCTTTTGACAAGACCATGCATGCAGTTGTTGAAACCTGCTAGCGTAAATAAAAGTCACCATTGCTGATGCTGATGCTCTATCACTCTGTGTTGATTGGTCAGCTGCGGAGAGCCCTGGCAGCTTTCTCACAGACCCTCACTGTGTATGTTGTGTCAGTGAGCCTTGGTTCTCACTCAGGCTCCAGCAGGACATGTTTTTTTTTTTCTTGTTTTGTTTTCCTCCTTTAGGCAAACTTTGTGCCTCTAGCCAGGTGTGTGGGAGGTGGGTAGAAATTCCTATTTATCCTTTTTAGTAAACAGGGCTTCTCAGACCTGCCTTCATCTGAGTCAGTATGAACTTCTGGGCTTTCCATTGCTGCTGTGACCGGTCATCCTTCCTTCCTGTTAAGCCCACAAAAGGGCATAGACACCCCCTCAGCTTTGCCACCTCAGATCTATTTCCCTGACGTTTAAGTAAATAAAAAGAGAAACAGCAGAACCCGCCCAGGTCTAGAAAAAGCAAGGCTTCCCTCTGTGCTCTGTCTCCGCCATTACTGCCTTCTCCGGGTTGAGGTCTGGGAGAGGGAACTTGTTTGCACTTAGAGTCAGCAGAGACATAATTATTATGAAGAATATGTGCTCTCCATATAAATTATCATCTGTCTAGTACTTTTGCTGATGTTGGCCATTGTGAGGTTTTTCAACCTCTATATCTGATGGAAGCCAGAGAACAGTGTCTTTCCTTCTGGATCTCTGACAAAGGTGCCTTTGTGGAAATGTGGGCCCTGCCCTGTGATGTTTCAGTATTGAGTTGGCCCTCAGATTTCTTTGTTATAATAAGGCTCCTGGTTGGGCTTGGCAGCCTCTGATATAAACCCCCAGCCTTCCTATGTTCAGGTTTTGTACTTCCTGAAGCATTGTGCAGTAATTGGCGATTGGGCTCAGGATTCTCTGAAAAGATCTCTTTGATTTATAGAAGACGATGGGCCACTATGAGTCATTTGTGTGGCTTGTCACCATCATGAGCCCTCTTTGCAGCTGTTGAATGCCACAGTGTATAACTATGTAGCAAAAGGGAAAGGGCTGCATATTTTTCAAATACATTTTCTTTTCAGACAATAAAATGGCCTCCAGCCAACTATATAGGTGAAAGGTCCAATATGTACCTTACTTAACCCCCTGTCATGTGGGAGCCTATGCATGCTTGTCTATTAATGTTGTCTTGCTTCTGCACGCCATCTGGGTTTAAACCCACAGCGATGTTGAAACAATGAACCAATTCAATTTCTGCATGATGACTACGAGATTAGGGAACCAAAGAACCACCTGGTGATGTCTTTAAGGAGGCTAGGGGACACACAGATGCCTTTCCATACAGGAGGAACAGGTCTTTCTCTTGGTTGCTCAGGTAATTTTTTAAGACTGTGGTTGACCTGTCCATCACAGGCTGGTTTTTTTGGAGCCTGAGAGCTTGAACCACCAGGTCAGGCCCAAGGCTCCTCATTAAGCTCTGGTGATTTCTGAAATCATTGGCAAGTCACAAGGACCAAATCACAAAGCCCACTGGTAAATACCAAACCCTACACTGTGCACAGAAGTCTTGTGAAGAGTCCTTTGGGGGCCTCAGCATTCCCTGGGCGTAGAAGTGGCTTGGGAAAACCAGAGCTGACCCAAGGACTCGCCTTTGAAGTCAGCAACTCTGCCTCTTCCATGTTCTCTGGAAACAATGATGGCTTTCTCTTGAAATAAGATGGCCCAAAAGTTCTGTTCTTGGCTTCAGTTGCTCTCTTGCTCTGTCTTTTTAATTCTACTTTCCCTGAACTCTCTGATCAGAGGCAGAATGTCTTCCAAATCTTGTTCAAAATGTTTTTATTGCTGTGAGCAGACTCATTTCTGACCACCCACATCCCTGACTGTTTGGCATGTCTGAGCATCTGGAATGGAGGCCTTGCGAGTGAGAAGCCCATCCAGGGTTTTCTCCTGACATGATTAATATGAAAAGCAAGTAAGAGCCGAAACTCAATGTCAGAAAAGTAAAGTGTTAGCAAATGATCACTTTAAAGTGCTAATAACCTGCAGGGCTGCTCATGAACCTGCCCAGGCTCCACTTAACTGTCTCAGATTCAGTAAAGGAGCCCCAAAGAGGGCGAGCTTACAATTACAATTTTCCCACATTCTCTCCGAAAATGTTTTCTACAGGGGTAGCCACTGATCGTGTGGAGCTGTTTAAGTTAATTAATGTTAAATGAAGTGAAATAAAAGTTCTGGCACCATCCAGAAGCCTCATGTGGCTTCCATAATGGATGACATACACACAGATCAGCCTGTCTTCAGAGCCGGTTTCTGCTGGACAGTGCTGGTCCAGGTCACAGCACTGGACCATTTAGGACTCTGTTGCCCAGAGACACGAGACAACACCTTTCCATATCAAGAATGGTTACCCCCTTTTCAGGAGGCAGATTTTAAGTTTAGTGTACTCAGTGGTATCATCCTGTTTTCTAGAACAACCCTGAGTTTTCTAGTGATGGCTTATAGATTGGAGAAAGCTAGGAAGCCCTTTGATAATTATACTAATTGTACCCGTTTTGTTGCAAACTGATTGGGAGCCAGGATTTTGTTCCAAATCTGTCACATATTAACCTTTCTAGTTTGCATAGGAAGTCTCCAGAGGTATGGTCATGGCTTATCCCAGAATCCTGGGGAACTGAAGCTCAGAGTTCGATAGTTTGTTCTGAATGATACAGCTAGTAAGTGAGTGAACGTGTATGTGAGCCCTGGGACTGTAACTCCTACTGCCTTTCTGTTCTCGACAAGCAGCTTGGAATTATCCAGGAGGATCCCTGTAAGACAGCTGCAGTAGCAGGACACCGAGAAACACGCGTGGATATGAGGCTACTCGGGCTCTTATTCTAAGGAACATGCTGAAGACTCAATGGGATGAAAATAAAACATCTTTCAAAGCCCAGCTTGAGAAAGCTGATGGGGGAAGATAGCTGATCTGCTGCTTAATTTATGGGGTCCACGGATGTAGACAGTGACTGGCTGCTGAATATATATGTGTGTATATGTATATGCACACATATGTATATGCACCCAAATGTATACACACACACATATATACATATATATATAGTTTTATGCCTCTGTATGATATATGGCAGTTCCCTTGATACAACACCACAGCTTTGTACCTACAACAAAGATTATAAGGCAAGCACATGCTAGAACATTCCTTCAGAGAAAAGATGTGTTGACCCCTGTGCCAAGCCCTTCTGCAAGCATTTCTAAACTTGACCTGTTTATCAAAGGAATTAAGATGTCAGTGTTTGTTTATTGGCTCTCACCATAGATGTGTTTGTTCCCCCACTGTGTGCCTGGAACATCCGAGTTTCAGCAATACTCAACTTGCTCTTTGATCCATCCTCATACTCTCAAGTCCCAAAGACCTTACAGTGAATGTCACATCGACAATTACCAGGGTTTGACCCAGGGCTCGGCATGCCTGTCTACTTCCATTTTTCTTTTCATGTCTGCCCACCCTCAAGAGGTTTGTATGACTTTTCTTGTTGCCATGACGAATGCCTGACAGTAGCAGGTGTGAGAAACCCTCAAGAGTATCTGGCCGCACTAGGTACACATGTTCTTGCAAGCTGCAGTTCTCCCCAGCAATGTATCTATCTGTTCTTCCTTTGGTCAGTCTGTCATGGTAATGGAGCCATACTTCCGTTGATTTACACCAAGCTGGATGGTTTCTGTTCAGGCAGGAAGGCCATAAGCAACAGGCTCCCAACAATGTCCAAGTTAACAATGATGAGCAAAATGAAAATAATATGGAACTTGGAAAGAGTAGCTTGTGGATAGTGGGTTGAAGACGTGAGAGGAGAAGATGTGGGTGAAGATGGCAGTGCAGCTCAAAGGCCGGTTAGTGGCTTCACCTTGGTCTTTTATGACCACCATTTTTACTTCACTATTACCAGAGGTGCTTCCCCGGTTGCCTAGTATACCTTGAAAACTGTTCCAGCTGCAAAGGAGGCTCTGACAACAAAAGTATTTTAAATAGCAGTGCAGTTTCAAAAGAAAAAATGGATAGCTTTCTTTTCATGATCATGTACAGATGTCTTTTCTTTACGTTTCTCACACATATGAATATTTTAAGACCAAATGGACTACTAAGCCAAGTGTGTGACTTTTTTTAAGATCCTAACAGGACATAGAATAGCAACTCTGGTCTTCCAGTTTTATTCATTTCAGTTATGCACCAAGCAGTATCACTGTGTTGGATTTTCTTTTGTTGTTGTTGTTTTGTTTTGATTTTTGTAAAGAGCTGCTACACCTTTAAATGGCCATAGCTACATGGCCAGCCCTTCAGTCTGTACTTGAATAAATGTATCTATTTTCTGTGAATTATCTTGAAAGTCTTAAACAGAAATAACTTCAGAGTTTTTAATAAAGTTTATTTTCCTAAAATGTGCTAGTAGCATCTTGCCCACCCATAAAACAATAAACTTATCAAAAATCTTATTTTTAACATTTGAACATATGGTGCAAACTTTCTATTTTAAGGGCACATGCCCCATCCAGTTGGAATTTGTACCTTAAAAGAAAAAAAAAAAAATTGGGAGGGGGAGGGGTAGCTCTTCACTGGAATTAAATGACATAAAATGTTTGATGTGATAGTACTTTTATTAAATGAACGTTCTGGAGATCACTTCCTGTGGGTTTTTTTTTTAAATAAAATGTCAATTATGATTTTTAAAAAAAATAAAAAAAGAAGGAAGGTTTATTTTGTTTCGCAGTGTGAGGCTACAGTCTGTTTTAGTGCCTTTTCCTTTGCTATGACAAGATCTGTAGACAAACGCAATTTAAGGGAGAACAGATTTGCTTTAGCTCATAACAATGGTGGAGAAGTCTGGGTAGCAGGATGTTGAAGTGGCTGATCACATCCTATGCTCAGTCAAGAAGAGAACAAAATGTGTTTGCTTCTTGCTGTTTAGTTCACCTTCTTAAATCATGTGATTCAAGAAACCATCCCTCCCTGTTTAAGGATGGGTCTCACCCACAGCGGGCAGGTCTTCACACCTCAGTTAACCGAATCAAGATAATCTACCTCAGGCAAACTGAGAGGGCCATCTCCCATTGTGACAGCTCACACTCACCATCACACACCAGGGCAGAGAAGCCGTAGTAGCTGGAACATTGAGGCAGCCAGTCACATTTCAACTGTAGGCAGGAAGCAGAGAATGCTGGTGTTCATGTTTCCTCCCTTACTCCTTTTTATTCTCTGGGACCCCAACCTATGTGGTGGTGACACCCACATCTGGAGTGAGTTTGTCAGCCTCAGTCAAACCCCTTTAGAAAAACCCTCACAGATGGAATTATGTCTCCTAGCTGATTCCAAACTTGTTCTGATCAACAGCGAAGATTTACTGTCTTACTTACTCACGCAGTGTTCATTTCATGTCTCTTTCATTACATTCTCTTCTTGTTTATAAAAGGAATTTTGCAGAAAACAGAGACATATCTTGAGTTTCTGTTGCAGCATTAATATTGAAACTCAGTGGACTAAGATAGTAGGCAAATAGTCTTGGGAAACACTCGGTGATTTGATAATCCTTTAGGAATTAGTTTTTTTTTTTTTTTAGTAACCTGCTTTAAATGACCACTGTCTTCCTTGGGTCCCATATTCCACAGAAATTTCAGACTAATACAGTGTAAGAATGACCTTGCATGGTTAGCGGCTCCACAGCCTGACGTAGGGTGTCCTCTCCCAGACAGCCTTACAGTCTACTGTCTATACTAAGGTCTCCAACATGTGGCCACTTATCAGACATCTTCTCTACCAGCAAGTTACATGCTCACCCTTACTCTGCCTTATTCCCCAGTTGCTCTTATTCGTTCATCTTAGCCTGATATGTTATGTTCTCATAGGCATGCTGTCTCTCCTCACAGTGTAATCTGGAAAAGGAAGACTCCCATCTACCTCTCCACTGACTGCTTGTGCTTCTGTGACCCTGTCTCAGTGCCTCTTACTCTCAGTGCTACACACCTGCAAGGTTCCAGGTCATACCTCGGTGATCTTCCCCACCACCAGCCTTGTCAACTGTGCTTTGATAGCGAGATTACCTTTGTGACATCAGGGAAGACTATGAGATTAGGGAATACAATTAGAAAGGCCTGGGCTTGGTCTTTGTCACTTCACTTGGGTTGTATGAATCTCAATACCATACTAAGACAAGCTCTTGGGACCTCCTGTGTAATTACATAGTCCCTTTCTGTGCAGAGCTCAAGCCCAGTAACCCTGTAAAGCCAGGTGATCCAGTGTATGCCCAGATGTGCTGTCCAAAAAATTATGGAGCTAGGTGAAGCACCTGGCTCAGGAAGACACCTATGATAGTTTGACTTAAGCATGGGGGAAGAATTCAACTACAGGGTTACATGCCAGCATCATGGCATCTCTTCCATGCGGTAGGCATGGCAACAGTTCCCAAATTGCCCATGCTTATTTCTGTGGAGAACAGTGCCTTGGTCAACATGGACACAATTTTCTACCAAATATCACTACCTATAGACTGTATAGGACTGTAAACCATGGTGATCATCTGTGTTGCAGTTGTGGTTCAAAGAACATAGCCTTGTAGACTGAATATCACTGACTTTTCTTCTGCAGCTCCAGCACATACCGCCCCAAGGGCTTTGACGTCACTGTGAAGTACACACAGGGAAGCTGGACTGGCTTTGTTGGTGAGGACCTTGTCACGATCCCAAAAGGCTTCAACAGTTCTTTCTTGGTCAATATTGCCACTATTTTCGAGTCTGAGAATTTCTTTTTGCCTGGGATTAAGTGGAATGGAATCCTTGGACTTGCTTATGCTGCTTTGGCCAAGGTAAGGCAGGTCTTTCTGTTCAAGTTAATCCGATGAAGCACTGAGGCTGTGAAAAACAGTCATTAAAGAGACCAACACAGGGGTCCTGGGTTGTCCTGTGTGGTTACTGCTAAAAATCACAAAGCCCATAGAGACAAGTGTTCACACAATGAAGTTTCCAGCATGTTTGCAGCTTAGGGTAATTTCCTTTAAGATAAAATGTTAGCATTCTCTCTCTCTCTCTCTCTCTCTCTCTCTCTCTCTCTCTCTCTCTCTCTCTCTGCAGGTGTTGGGGAGTAATAAGACTGACTAGCCATCAAACCCCAGAGAACCTTCTATCCCTACCTTCTCAGTGCTGGGATTACAGGCATATATTGCTATGTCTGGGGAGTCAGCTTCAGGACTTCATGTTCATGCTTATATATCAAGCCTTTTATCGACTGAGCCATATATCCAGCTCAGTTTTTGCTGGTTTTTGTTGTTGTTGTTTATTTAAGTTGTTTTTTTAATGTTAGCAGAATTATGAGTCCTATAGGTTGTGGGATTTGATTATAAGCATTGATGAAGGTGACATTAAAGGGAAACATACATGTAATTAAGCTCTTAGGATCATATGAAGATGACACTAAGCCACCAACTGAGAACACCATTACTTCTGCCCTGTCACCCCAGGGGACCTCTGGGGAGATATCAGCAACTAGTATATGATCAGATGCCCTGAGGCTAGCCATCCCCTACAGAAATAGCCAGGGAGAAATGTTGGAATACTGTGCTCACAAAATCAGAGCCTTCCCAAGATGAGGCAAGACAGGATTGGGTCATCTCCGATACTTGTACTTGAGTCAATACAAAGAAATAATGGGGTGCTAAAAGAGGGTGGGCAGGGGGTTTCTATCCAGAGCAGTTGCCAGAGATAGGTGGATCTGTAGAAGCCTAGGCTTTGAGAGATAGACAGGTATGTGTGCACTGGGAACAAGCAGGAGTTACCTGCCCTGGCCCTGCCACTGAGCACCACTCCTTGGCTCAGCCCTACACTTTGAGCCCTAGCTCGGTACAGGGAAGAATGTGGTCACATGAGCAGTAGATATGTCTGGCCCAGGACTATCCAGAAAACGTTGTTCACCCACCCTGTGGAACATGTGCTCAGCTTCATTCTGTTAACAGTGGGGTGTATGGATGGACCCTTGGCTTCTCCTGGAGAAAGAACAAGAGTAACCAAGTTCCTGTCAGGTCTCAGGTAGGGGACATCATCACAAGATAGCCATTCACTCGGCTCATGTTCATGTGAGGCAGATCCTGTGAGGCCCTTGTGATCCATTTACCCATGTGGTTGCTTCAATGAGAGGTTTAGCGTCAGTTGAAACATGAGCCCCAGGCCACTCTCACCCTATTGCAGATCCAGGACTGGTTCAAGAATGCCTTTGTACTTGGTTGGCACTGTGGGCAGACTTTTTAGATATAAAGACTGGCATGGATCCTGGATTCCTAAGTCCCTTCTGCTAACATATCTTTCAAATCTTGTCTTTCAGTGGTTGGAAATGAAGGGTGAGATGTTTTTAATGCTAATTATTCTGAAGAATAATCCCAAATTAAATGTAATCAATTATATGTAAAGGCTACATGAAAACAGAACTTTGCAATTTCTTGGGAGGTATCTAGACTCTTCACATGATCTTTTAATCATTTCATCCATGAAATCCCAACATTACTGACAGCTAGCTTGAGAACTGCGTCTGTAAGGACCAGTTGAATGGCCTAGGTTAGGTGTCTTATCTCTGAAATGGTGTGGCTGGCCAAGGACTGGGTAATAGACCTACTGTGGGTGCTCCTGGTAGGTTCCAGGTAGTTCTACATAACCTATACATCACAACCACCAGGGTATCTTATGCTACAGATGTCAGGCCTCTCTGTATACTTCCTTGGATCTGGGTCCTTTGGAGTTGGTTCTGAGCAACTCTAGATTCTGAGGCCCAGAATCTAGAATCTAGGCCTAAAGGGAAAATGGCTCATTGATTAACACCATGTCTGAAATATGCATGTGTCAGATTCTTCAGACAAAAAGATCTTGAGCCTCTTAAACCCCAGAACTGACAGGCAACTTTGATCATATTTGCCAGAGAAAGGAACAAAGAACTAGTCAGGACCAATTCCAGGATTGGTCAGACATGAAACAAGCATGTATCCTCTGCTGTCTACAGGAAAGGGGACCAAGATGAGTCCCCACAAGATCACACCCACCCAACAGTGGACTTTGTCTTTCAGTCTACCAAGACACACAGCCTATCTGCAGAGATCACATGGGGAGATGATACTAAATCCATGGTAGCATTATAGGAGCAGAGATTGAAGGAGCAGATGACCAGAGAGAACTGGACTGATCAAGTGAGGAGGGTCCTATCTCATTCATAATAGAGCTTCAAATTCTCATGCCTAGTGAGCAAACATTCCTTCAGAGTGGCCATGGGCAGGGTTTCATCCCCCACAGCTGAGCATTTCATTTGCCTGAAGAAACTGACAACCCAAGCAGGGAATGGCAGTGAACACCTGTAACCCCAGATATCCTCAAGGTCAGAGTAAGAGGATTGTCAGGGCAACCTAGACAACATAGTGAAACTCTGTCTCAGATGAAAGGAAAAACAAATCTGGCATCTCAGAAAATTAGCCATCCCTGGTACCTTCCAGTTGTGAAAGCTCTAGTATAAACTCAAGTCTGTACTTCATGGTACCTGTAGTGCTAGCCTATCCTACCCCAAAGCTGTTTACAGAGCACTCCTTGACCATGGACACTCTTGTAAAATAGAGATCTCCTCCAAACATGTAGCTCTGTGCAGGAGAGGTGCTGGGCAGAGAAGATCTGCAGTCCTGCAGTAGAGAGTGTCCTGGCTGTTGAAGGTCATTTATGATTGCTAGAGTAGCAGGGACTGGGATATGGATGTATTGTCCTTGAATGTCAAAGGTTAGTTGCATGTTGGGTGGCTGTGGTGGAGAGAGATAGGTAGGAATTCTAGAGTAACTCTTTCCTCTTACTATAAATATTTGAGCCCAGGTCAATAGCCACTACCACAGGTTCATATACTTCCTCTCCTGAAATAGTGCTAAACAGCTTGAAGCATCCTAATAGCTCCTGGAGACATCATACTTTTGTGGCAGAACCTCAGATATCAGACACAAGGAAGCAAGATGAGACTCCTGAGTGATCACAGCTGGTTTCAAACATGTGTGTTGGTTAACCATGAAGATTCTTTAAGTAGTAGAAAGACCAAGAATACCAAAGGAGAGGTATGCTGACTACACCAGGTCACCCTTATCTTCACAGTGGTCACAGCAGTAACTGTCTTTCCCACTTTTCTGCAGCCATCAAGTTCTCTGGAGACCTTTTTTGATTCCCTGGTGGCCCAAGCAAAGATTCCGGACATTTTCTCCATGCAGATGTGTGGGGCCGGATTGCCAGTAGCTGGATCTGGTACCAACGGAGGTAGTCTTGTGGGTATCTTTCAGTCTTAAAGGGATGAAAAAATCACAAATTGTTGGGGTTTTTTGCATTATTAAAAGCAAATCAGGACTGTTAGAAACACAATTTAATATAGGTCCTGTTCAGATCCCACATAGGAAATGCTTAACTGTTACTAAATATTAGGCACCATAACAGAATTTAAGGATAATTCAATGAACTCGTCTTACAACCTTTAAAAGATGGATAATGGTCCTGCCATCTAGAAATACGATTCTCATTGTTTCTCCAAATTCCACCCCAGTTGTCTTATTGCTTTTCAAGAGTATACAGAGCAGCTGACTTTCAGTGGGAAGATTTGCCAGCAAGTAAGGGACAATGGGGAGGTACAGCAAGTAGCTCTCCTCTAGGCAAGGCATACACACCTATGATTCATATACTTGATCAGAGACAAGACCACCATGTCTCTTCCTTCCCTCCCCCTTCACTCCCTTTTCTTTGTTCCACCACTACATACCGCTCAATAAAAATGTTTAGAATGAAATGGAATTGAGGCAATCTACTTCATGGGGGTAATGCAGGCCAAGCTTCCCTTCAGGAGAACTCAGGGTACAGAAGACACATCTTTGAGAGGTGTATCCAGTCCCTGTTCTCCCTGCAGCAGGATCAGCACTGGTCATTGCCTTTGACTAATAGTCTACCTGCCCCTAGCACATTTGCTGTCTCCTTACTAAGAAACAGGGTGTCCTAGCATAGTGGGGAAACATTATTTTTGCAAAACAATGTCTTGGTTAGGAAATTTTGTGGTCTGTTTCCCCTAATCTCTGACTTTTGAGGCAGTAAATCAATGCCAGTCAGCTTGGCTTACTATTTTGCTACATTTGTCTGAGGGAACTTTCAGCATCATAAAGCTGGAGCTGTATGCTTGGAATACCAGTGGAGCATCTTTGTCAGACTATGGCAAAGTATTGTGGAACATAATCACAAATACACACACACACACACACACACATCTTCCATAAATGGGGAATTTTCAAGCATCAATATTTGCTGTAGAACATCAGAATAAAGTGAAGGTACTTCTTTGGGTGATGTGGTACCCTGAGTAACTGCTTCTTTATGGAAGCTATTGATGTAGTCACATAGATTTTACCTCTAACATCTGTAACTGTTTTTCCCCCAGGTCCTTGGTGGGATTGAACCAAGTTTGTATAAAGGAGATATCTGGTATACCCCGATTAAAGAGGAATGGTACTATCAAATAGAGATCCTAAAATTGGAAATTGGAGGCCAGAGCCTCAACCTGGACTGCAGAGAGGTGAGTGTTCTCAATTCCTGTTGGATTCTGCCTTCCAGTGCTGGAGAAGCTTCAGCATTTTACCAGTACCTGGGCATGAACTCAAAAGGTATGTCACATTACAGAGTAACTCAGAAGATCCTTACAAGAGATAGATCCTTTATCTATGATGAGTTCAAATCAGTAAATTACACACATGCGCAAGAGTGCGCACACACACACACACACACACACACAGCCTCCTCCCAACCTCCTGGAAAAATTAGTATAAAATGGTGAGTATGGATGACAGTGTCCAACTTCATTTACGTCTTTCCCAGTCATGTTGGCCAGATGGTCCCTCAATCTATTAAAATAGAACCTTTATCAAGATAGAGGAAATTAACTGTCATCAGATTTATCCTCCTTAACTCAGACACACACAGAGACACACACATATACACACACAGACACATAGACACACAGACACACACACACACACACACACGACTCTAACTAGAAGAAGACTCTTAAAGATGCATAAGCTTGACAATGTCACTAGGCAGGTCCACACACTGCTGTTACACTGCACACACACAGTCTCACACTGTGTTTGGCCTCTTTTGTATTCAGGCATTAGAACTATGTCAACTTGAGGAAGTTGTCCTGTGAGCCAGTTTTAGGTGGCTTCTGAAGCTCACCAGCCAGTGACTGTAGAGCACCCCATAGCACTTCCTCTCTTGTTGACTCTTGTACATTTCCACACTGCCCTGAATTCTCATGATCACAAACACCTCTCATCAATGTTAGTCTAATATTGGTCTACTGTAGTTCTATAGAGTTGGGTCCAAATCTACACATCTACAGTGTCAGAGGCCCTTAGTTATCACCAAAGACTCCAGACTTGTATCAAATGAAATGGAGTACATATCCTGTATTATATGTGTATTGTTATTAAATTTCCTTCCCAAAGGCAAATGGGGGTGTTGATTAAGAGTTATCCTTCTCCTTCTATTGATAATATAACAGAAAAGTAGATTTTGAACAGTTTTGTTGAAGTCACTTTTAAAAGGGTCATTTTAATTTCTAAAGTCCAGTGGGCCATCCCTCTTCCCAGCATGAGGGAAGAGCAACTTGGGCAGCTCCTATAAGGTAAAAAAGCTCTTTCTGGGAGCTAGGAGTTGTAGTCCTGTCCTTCTCTTGTGCCCCAGTTTCCTTATCTATGTAGTGAAAACACTTGCATGGATGACCCTAGACTGCTGAGGTCTGGAGTATAACATGACTTAGTCACCACTGAGCCACTGTGGCTTCGTGTTAGAAACGGGGTCATGGTATATAGATAGGGAACCCATTACTGCTCACTGTCTTCTCCCTTCCCCGTTTCAGTATAACGCAGACAAGGCCATCGTGGACAGCGGCACCACGCTCCTACGCCTGCCCCAGAAGGTGTTTGATGCAGTGGTAGAAGCCGTGGCACGCACATCTCTGGTGAGTCCCAAGAATTTTCTAGAACACGTCTGTGCGTTGTGAGTCTCTGAACTACTACTCAGCGTTCTGAAGATTTTAAAGAGCAGGTTGTTTCTTGTTTTGTAAACTGTTGCCTGTGAAGCTCGATTATCAAATTACCTTTTGATCTGAATCTATCTGCAATACCTTCATGTCAACTTCAGAGGGTTTGGTTCTGAGCATACAATACTCTGAGTGTTTTAACCAATAGCTGAGTTGGCACAAGAATTTTTTTTAATCTGAAGTAAAAAAAAAAATCATCTTCAGTATGATTACATCATATGCTGCTTAATGACAGTAATGTGGTCTGAGGACAGCATTGCCAAGTGATGCTCTTGTTATGTGGGCATCATGAGATATACTTACACAAAACTGGGAGATGTGGGCCAACCATCAGATGCAAAGGTGGACAAGATGGCTTACTGGGTAAAGGTGCTTGCCATTCAAGTCTGGCATCCTGAGTTGGATCCCTGGAATCCATGTAAAGGTGGAAGAGAAAACCAACTCCACAGGTGTCCTCCATATGAATGGTATGCCACATGTGTGGTCTCTCTGTATATGTTTATACATGTGTTTTCCACAATAAAATAATTAATAACATCTTAAAAGTAAATGAAACATAAAAAACATAATATGTGTACACAACATATGGCTTTACAGTAAACTTTATAAGTCAAAATACACAAAATGCATGCTCACACCAGGACCACCACGGACCTGTAAGTGAAGCACTGGGCTATGACACCTCAGGACAATAAGAATGACCCCCTCCATTACAGTCTTGGAACTTCCACTGTTTCCTCCATGCTGTCAATGGTAGAAAAACTTATCTAACACATAACTGTGTGCTAAAGTAACAGGAAAACACAATTGCGTTTGTATCCTTTAAAACAAAACAAGCCCCAAATCTGTACCCTCATTGCTCTTCATTTAACCTGGAATGGCATCTAAACATGTTACAGAAAACAAACCAGTTGGCCAAAGTAACATTTGTTTGATGGCCGTGTCCTGAAATATATCTGGCTGAGGGCAGTATGTTAGAGTTCTCTAAAGAAGCAGAACTGATAGAATTAATATATGTGATATATAGATTGACTCACAATAAACAAAGGTTGGCTGACAGCTGACAGCCAAGACTAGCCATCAAAACTAGCATAGCTTTTGAGGCTTGCCTACTGTTTCTCCCAGCATCACCCCAACTTTCCAGGGAGTATAGACCAGTAGTATAGACCAAAAGCATCAGTCCAGCACAGAGAAGATGGCACAGTGGATAAAGCACCTACTGTGCAAGCATGAGAACTAGAATTCAGAGCTCTAGATGCCATGTCAAAGCAAGCAAGCAGGCATGGTGGTTTCCTGCAGTTCTGCACTGGGAAGGCAGAGACAGGTTCCCCTGAGCAGGCTGCCAGCTAGACAAACTGGAATTGATGCTTCAGGTTCAACAAGAGACCTTCCTTAATAGACTGAAGGGCTATTGAGGGAAGCACTCACATTGACTTCAGGCCTCCACACATCTTAGTTAGGGTTTCTGTTGCTGTGATAAAACAACATGGCCCAAAGACACTTAGAAAATAATGGGTTTATTTCAACTTGCAACTTTACAGTCCATCACCAAGGGAAGTCAGGCAGGAACTCACAGCAGGAACCTGAAGGCAGAAACTGATGCAGAAGCCATGGAGAAGTGCTGCTTGCTGGCTTGCTCCCTATGGTTTACTCAGCCTGCTTATAGCACCCAGAAACACTTGTCCGGGGTGGTCGTACCCACAGTGAGCTTGATTCTCCTACATCAACCAAGAAAAGGCACCACAGGCTCATCTAGCAGGGCATTTTCTCAATTAAGAGTCCTTCTTCTCAGATATGTTTAGGTTTGTGTAAAGTTGACATAAAATTAACCAGTACAACACACATATACACACTTGTAACTACACCTGCATACAGGAGGACACACATGTATGCATACATACTTTCACTCATCCATACCACATACATGAAAAAATACCAGTCTGTGCAGCATTGGTTGTCAAATGGTGTGTATTAATTAGTTACTTGTTCATGACTGGGGCAGGTACCTCACAGAAAGGTTTATGTTGTTCTTGTTTTGGAGGGTGTCAGCCCTTCACAGTGGGGAATTTGGGGCGGAGCAGAGAAGCTCATGTCAAACCAGTCAAGACACAGAGATAGTGAATTCAGGAGAGGACCAGGACTCTAGACCCTCCCTCAGTGCGCTCTTCAAGCTGGGCTGGACCTCCCACCTTAACCACCTCCCCACAGTGCCATGATATTCTAAATCCCTCAAGGAAGTAATGTCACTTAAGTCAGGTCCCCAGTATTGAATCACTTCCAGAATCTCAACAAACGGGGAGCACTTCAGTATAGACCAAGTAAAATTGAACCCCATTCAATTTCTTCTGTCTGGTAGCAGGGAACCCTCAGGAAGACCCTGGTTCCGTCTGTGGAGCTGTTGAGACTGTTTATATTTCCATCTGTCACCTGTAACTGTCACCTCTGTCGTCTATGTCTTCTTCGGTTGCGACTTTCATCGCATGCCTCCTAGGCTGGAAGATGCATGAGGGCTACTTGGGAAGCCAGAGTACAAGCAATCACTGTCTTACAGGGCTTGGCCTGCCAACTATTCAGCCTGCCCCACTGCGCACTGCCTGCTACCCTATGTCTGCTGTTACTCCACTTACTCTGTCACGTCACCAGTGCTGCCCTCTTCTGTCGTCTCTCTGCATAAATCTGAGCAGCCTCCTTGCACAGCTCGAGGGTTGTTTAGACAAATCACCCCATTTGTTTGACCACTAATAGACGTTTGCTCTGAACCAATCACAGCCATTTGTTTGAACCAACCATTGCCTTGCTTTGTAGCACCAATCCATATAATACCTTTTCTAGACTACCAGGGGAACTATTCCTTGCTTGGCCAAGGTGGACATGGTTTCAGGATCGTCTAGAGTTCACTCAGGCTTACCACAACAAAAAGTCTGCTGGTAACTGTTTCAAACATCTCTGGCTTAGGCTGTGTGGAATGTGCTTGATCCTGGCTTAAGGGAAACCAGCTGACTGCTAGACTAATAATTCTTTTGCTTAAGACAGGCAGAACAGCAAGGAAGAGCCAATCGGCTGCTAACTAGGGAGTCAGATTGAAATTGCTCTGTCCCAACATTTTTGCTTATTTACAGGAAAGTGAACATCACAGGTGTACTTAAAATACAAACTTAACATTGACAGATTTTGTAACTGATAATTTAACAACATTAACACCTCCCTGGGCCCAGAGAGAGGTAGGTCCCCCTTGTTTTTCCCATGTCTACTCAAGGTCCCCACTAGATAACCAAACATGAACATTTTGTGCCCAGAGACTGTAGGTGATGCTGGCAAGGAGCTAGAGTGAGACCAAGTTGGCCAAATCCCAGCCACTGACAGAAAAACAGATAACCGTGGCTGTGTGTCAGATGCCAGCACAAATCTAGACACAAGAGGGGCTTTGACTAGCCTGTCCCCGAGTTGCAGAAGCCTGGATCTCTATGGGAAGAACACCCAGCAAGAGTGTGTGCACAGGGGTTGGTTTCCAATATCAGGCAGTGGTCCAGAGCAGCCATGCCAAAAGCAGAACAAATCCCTAGCTTTGCCAACAGCTGCTACACCCAAAAAACTGCCAAGTCAGTCTTTCCATGCTGTAAAGTTAGAATGCTTGCTAAAAATCAGACCCTACTTAAAATAAGGAGCATATGCCCAGTGCTTAAATATAAGTATGTCCTCTGCGGGAGTAGCAGGAGTGCCTTCAGACTTTACATTCTGAGCTTTAAGGGATTTACAAGAATCACAAGGACCAGTATAGAGTGTCAGGTGTGTGGTAGCCAGTGAGCCGCAGCCAGCCTTTGCATGCAGCTGGGCAGGTGTGTGGAGGAGTGAGGGCTTCGTACCCAGAGTTCATCTCAGCATCTCATGACTTAAGCAAATCATGAGACAGAGACCAGGAGCTTACGGCATTTGTTTGCTGTGTCTAAAATTATCCCATGATTTCATTTAGCACCTGTATCTGGGGGGAAAGGCAGGAGATAGTCAGCCTTGGGTGAGGTGTGTTCTAGTAGTGTGTATCCTTCGCCTTACAGTGCAGGGCCTCTGGACATTGGTCCCCTTTACTACAGGACTCATGGGAAGCCCATCCTCTTGGCCTGGGTTTCTTCTTACTTAAGCAAAGGGACAGATCCAGACTGGAAGAAACTATAATGTCTGGCTCTTGTCTCTCAGGCAGAATGTAAAAAGGAATGGCTTTTACATCTGTATATAAAAGGGGCCCTAAGATCCAGTCAACCCAGCTATGGCACTCCAGCTGGGGCTCAGCCCAGCACCTCCATGGCTGTAGAGTCCATCATCAAAATGGCACCTACACAAATGTCTTTCATCTTTAAAACTGACCAGAGTTTAGAATACCACAGCCCCTGGGGAGACTGTCAGACATATTTTCTGGGACCTTCAGATCTGACCTGTGCCATCTAGGCAATTGCCTGGCCTCTCTAGGACTCTCTGAGACTCACTCTTCATTACATATGGGTGCTGGTTGTGCATTTCACTGGAACACTGGGTATTCCTTGGAGGCCCAGACACTCTTAGCTCTGTGAAATCCAGCAAGATGATGAATCCTCTATCCTGATTAGCTCATCAGAGAAAGGGTCCTATGGTCCTGTTGGTGATCCACCACTTCTGTAAAAAGACAAATATGTATTAGCACCAGCAATAGAAACCTGACAAGTCTACTCTGGCTGTGTGTGGGAGGATTAACAGGTGGCTTTGTGCCTCAGAAGGTGGGTGATAGCACCTAGCATGTGCCATTGTTACACACAGCACCCACCTAGCAGTCAGGATGTAGGTGTCACCTGTTTCTTAGGACTGGCTCCTGGCCCTGGCTTCTCCCAATCTCAGGAATAACTGTCATCCCCCACCACCATCTGCTAGTGACTCTGGGGTACATATCTATCCCTACCATTCCCTGGAGCTCAGAGAACTCAGGGCACAGATGAACTGTCCACATTCCCACTTAATCACATCCAAGGTACTGCTGAGTACAGACCTGGGAAACTGGAGTGCAAGCTTTGCTGCTTCCCAACAGCCCCCTCTTCCCCCTCAGCCTCCTTCACCTCTCTTTCTGTCCCTGGCATCCAATGGGCAGGTTCCTGTCAACACCTTTGCTGTGGCTCTGCCTCTCTCACTCCCAGCCCTGAGCTCTTGAGATGGCACAAGCCTGTTAATTCCCCTGCAGGTGGAAGTAGGTGAGTGGTACCACTATCCAGGTCTTGATGGGCAGCACAGGTGTGCTTTTAGTCCTGAGTGTCACTCACTTTAACCCCACACGTTCCTCAATGTTGTGTTTGTGTAGATATTGGGCCCACATAGTGATACCTACTCAAGCACAGGTGAGGAACACCTGTGAAGTTCTAGGTTCAAGAACAGGGTCATTCATTACCAGGAAGCAAGATTTGTCACCATGACCTGCCCCAGGGAAAGACTAAGTAGGAGCCAACTGGAGCAGTATGCTATTGTTAAGCTAGGAGATAGGGAGGTTTTCTGGATGAGGTGGGGTCTAGACTGAGGTTTTAAGGAGGAATGTTTAAGAACAGTGCACTAGGAAGCAACTGGTAGACATGAACCCCTGAAGTGCACAGGTAGTCAATGTCCCAGAATACCTTGAAGGCCACTGTGATGGACAGTTTTGTCATATTGACATAAACCAGACATGGGAAGAAAATGCAGTTGAAGAATTGTCTAGATCAGGTTGGCCTGTGGGCATGTCTGTGGGGATTGTCTAGATTGCTCATTGAAATAGAATACTCAGCCCACTGTAGGTGGAACCATTCCCTAGTCTGGGCCTCCCAAATTGTGTAAGAGATGAGAAAACTGGGTGAAGGCAGCCAGACAGTAGGAGTTAGTTTCACTCTGCTCTCAACTGTGAGCATAATGTGACCAGCTGTGTCACCCTCTGCCACTGTCACGTGTCAGCTGTAACAAACGGTAACCTGAATTGTAAGAGGAGTGATCAATTCCCTTTCCCCTGAGTTCCTTCTCATCATGGTATTTTATCACAACAGAAATAAAACTATATTAGATACTTTTAGAATGTTTTTTCTTTTAAAGACTTGTTGCTGTATGACCTTGGGTGAGCTGTCACACCTCTCTATGCTTCAGTTCCCTCCCTGGTAATGTAAAGGGTAATGTGTGTGGTAACACACACAGGTTGGTGTGTTAGAAGGCTAGAGTAGTCATTTGCTAAGCATTTGTCACAGCTAATCCCAGGAAGCGATCTGGGTGTCTTTGCAGTTTTAATAATTATTATTGTGTCATCACCGTCTCTCTTCCAGAAGACTGATGTCCCTGTCACTCTGTCCAAATGAGATGTTGTTTATCCCTGTAGGCGTCTAGTACTGGGACCAGGGAAGCAGAGAGCTGTTTCCTGTTATGCGCCAGGCTGGTGCCTGCTTCTCACAGGATCTGTTTTGTCTAGATTCCAGAGTTTTCTGATGGCTTCTGGACGGGGGCCCAGCTGGCATGCTGGACAAATTCTGAAACACCATGGGCATATTTCCCTAAGATTTCTATCTACCTGAGAGATGAGAATGCCAGTCGCTCCTTCCGGATCACCATTCTGCCCCAGGTACAAACCTAGTTTGTACTCTTCACACGTAACTCTCAAAATCAAATGTCACACATGACTAGGCACCTTTGGGCAGCACCTTGTTGCTTGTTCTTGATCTAGCAGGTTTACTGGTCCATGTCAGTCTGCCTTATATGGCCACAGTCAGTAGGAAGTATGTGAACATGTCTTATTTTGAGCCTGGGATGGTATGGTCTCACCTCACATGGCAGCATAACAATCGCATGTGTCTTTCCATCATCAAATGCCATGGGTGATCAAAGTGGAGTTCTGAGAATGCCAGTGTCCATGGCCAATGAGTTCAGTAACCTGGGAGGGGGTGTGGAGTCAGCAGAAAGCTAGACTCTGACCACCTCTTGAAGTTCAAGCAAGTGGCCTCGGAATAGTTTGAGCTGTCCTTATTTATACGGAAATTTAGAATATGCATTCAAATATATGCAGTTTCAGATTTTCCTTTAATCACTATCCAAGAGTCTCAGCAAGTTCTTATTAAAATTCATTTCAAGTTCCCTTGTTTCCTTATGGTCAGTGATTAACCTTTATCCATATCTAAGTAGTATAGTATTACAATCCAAATGATTGTATCATAGCTAAATACACCTGAATATTGTGAGTCAAATGATTTAAGTGTTGTATTGCAAGCCAGACGATTATATCTAGCCAGCCATATTCAGTTTGAATTGTACACAGACCAGCAGTAAGCATGAAGTTTCAAGGTAAAGGACAATAGAATACAAACATAAACTTTTAATGGCAATATAACCTTTGCATTTTATCACCATCTGATTCAATAAGCTCACACTATGTTTTAAGGTGTCTTCATGCCATTATCTGTGTTAGTTTTATAGTATGGTTCTGCTCTATACACCTTTTCCATACATTTTTCCATCAACCCATGCCATTCCTTTCTTTTTGGTAAGCCCTTACCCAAGGCAAAGATGAATCTATCCATCTTATATTTCTTAAAAGAGCATAAAAAATTTTACTTACTAACTTATCATAAGAATGAACTAACTTGTTTTGAGAATGAACTCTTTATTGTTGACCCTTAGGCCATATCACTTTAGACCCTGTCTCTTTAGGCCCTGTCTCTTTAGAACATGTTTCTTTAGGCCCTGTCTCTTTAGACCCTATCTCTTTAGGCCCTGTCTCTTTAGGCCCTGTCTCTTTAGGCCCTGTCTCTTTAGACCCTGTCTCTTTAGACCCTGTCGCTTTAGGCCCTGTCTCTTTAGACCCTGTCTCTTTAGACCCTGTCTCTGTAGGCCCTGTCTCTTTAGGCCGTGTCTCTTTAGGCCCTGTCTCTTTAGACCCTGTCTCTTTAGACCCTGTCTCTTTAGGCCCTGTCTCTTTAGACCCTGTCTCTTTAGACCCTGTCTCTTCAGACCCTGTCTCTTTAGGCCCTGTCTCTTTAGACCCTGTCTCTTCAGACCCTGTCTCTTTAGGCCCTGTCTCTTCAGACCCTGTCTCTTCAGACCCTGTCTCTTTAGGCCCTGTCTCTTTAGACCCTGTCTCTTTAGACCCTGTCTCTTTAGGCCCTGTCTCTTTAGACCCTGTCTCTTTAGACCCTGTCTCTTTAGGCCCTGTCTCTTTAGACTCTGTCTCTTTAGGCCCTGTCTCTTTAGGCCCTGTCTCTTTAGACCCTGTCTCTTTAGACCCTGTCTCTTTAGGCCCTGTCTCTTTAGACCCTGTCTCTTTAGGCCCTGTCTCTTTAGACCCTGTCTCTTTAGGCCCTGTCTCTTTAGACCCTGTCTCTTTAGGCCCTATCTCTTTAGACCCTGTCTCTTTAGACCCTGTCTCTTCAGACCCTGTCTCTTTAGGCCGTGTCTCTTTAGACCCTGTCTCTTTAGACCCTATCTCTTTAGGCCCTGTCTCTTTAGGCCCTGTCTCTTTAGACCCTATCTTCTCTGTAGGTTTTGAAGTTTCCCTCACTACAATATATTGGCAAGTTTAGGTCCTCAGAATTAGTTAACATTTCCAAACCCTTTTCTTTTTCCTCATATATCCCTATCAGTTTTGAGACCATCCAATAAGGAATCTTTTTAAAGGTCTTGATCAATCATATCTTTACCTCACCTTTTAAGGAAGCAGGAATCATGGTGCCATCTCCTGAGGACTCACAGACTCACACTGTTGTTCCAGATATCATTCCCACTGGTCCTTTCCAAGTGGGAGAGAAGCTCAAAGGGCCTTACCTTGAGGAGGTCATCCCCAGAATATGCATGCAACTTTCCCAGGAAAGACAACATGGCTCCTGCCGTGAGAGAAAATATCCCTAGGCAGCCCTGGCCCCTCCCTGATGTCACCCAAAGGAGCCTGGAGTGGACCTGGATTCCAGGGCTAAGAACATAGTCCCTCCTCTCAGTGTGGGGAGCCACACAGCCTCAGGGCATAGCCATGGGGAATGGTAAAGGAGTTGAGACCATCTGTGACATCTACCACAGCAAATTTCTACTGTGACTTTGTATCAATAAAGTTGGGCTGTCAGAAGTAAACACCGCATAGTTCCTGTAACAGCAGTAACTCTTGCTTCCTGAGGGGCTCAGTAAAGCAAGTATGTCTTCCTGAGCCATATCTCCCACTCCACTCTCCAATTCTCTTTCCCTGAGCCCTGGCTTTGTGAGGGAGAAAAAATGAACCAACAGACTGGGAAAGGCCTGGGTGAGCTGCTTCTGCTCTCACAAGAGGGGGCACTGTGGAGTCATTTTCCTGCTACATGTCTCTGCCTAACCTTCTCCCTCCCTAAAATCTAGAGAGGTCAGATTCAGTTTTCCTGTCACCAGAATCTTAGGACAGGACTTGGGGCATGAGCACACAGGTACCAAATGCATACACGCACAGACACACACACACACACACACACACACACACACACACATTTATTATTATTATTATTATTATTATTATTATTATTAAAACCAGCCTCTATCAAACAGGAAATTCTGGGTTTCTTCATACACCCTTGAAAATGTGCTTGCTCTCAGTCTAAATTCTGCCAGCTGTCTGTATATGCTACTTTGGTTTAAGGTAGGCAAGTGCCTTTTTTCTGAGATTCATTAGGATTAAGTAAGTGTTCTCATAGATTGCAAAATATATGGTCTTGAATTCTTTAAGTAGTAGTGTTAGGCAGGGTCTCACTATACAGCCCCGGCTGGCCTGGCCTAGAACTCACTGTGCAGGCCAGACTATCCTTACACAGAAGTTTGCCTGCTTTTGTCAAGTCCATTATCTGGAGTTCTTCCTGGAAGAGACACACAAAAGGACCAACTAAGAGATGCAAACACTCTGAGTTGCATCTAGCCACCACTTATCCATGTCTGTCCGTTGCTTCACATTTGATACATAATCTTTTGCTTCTGTGTAATTTGTTCATTCAGAGGTGGTAAGAGGTACATTATACATGTGCTTGGGAAACCTTCAAAACCTTAGATCCCGGTCTTGCTGTGAAAACTAACCATATCCTCCACCTTTTCCTAATTTAAATGGATCTGCTCTGGAAGTTGTGTGCCCCCATTTAACACTGATCAAGCTTCACCTCATACATTGGTGAACACACATTTGCCAAGCCCCTATTCCAGGATAAAGTCCCAGGACTGTAGGGAAGAAATGAGTACCACCTCACCTTGAGGCAGTGCTTGCTGACTGATAGTCTAATAGTGCAAGAGTCAGTCCTGGAATGAAGCTCTGTACTCATGTGCACAAACCCACACTCAGAAACATGCACATATACACTTAATTAAATTTTTAAAAATCTTTGAAAAATAAAGTTTATTGAGACAATTTTGATCACATGTCTCAGATGCCTGGGATGATGTCATTGTTTCCTTTGATCTTTGTGGGGAGGGGAGGTTGGGGGGGCTTTTCACACAGTGGGACCTCCAGTTTTATGCTCTTGTGTAATCCATGCTTTGTTCTGTGTCTTTGCCCTTGCTTCTTCAACAAACAGCTCTACATTCAGCCCATGATGGGAGCTGGTTTCAACTATGAATGCTACCGTTTTGGCATCTCCTCTTCCACAAATGCACTGGTGATTGGTGCCACCGTGATGGAAGGCTTCTACGTGGTCTTTGACAGAGCTCAGAGGAGGGTAGGCTTTGCAGTGAGTCCCTGTGCAGGTAAGTGTAGTTTCCGTGGTGTAGGATCACCATATAAAGAGGGCCTTGGTAAATGTGCCCACCTGGAACTATAACAGTGGTGTGCTGGGTACTATTGAACCATTTGACATGTGCTCATTTGCAATAACTAGGAGAACAATAACCACGGAAATGGCTCATATTATTGAAAGTGATATGTGGGTAAAGAACCTTCCTAGGATGCAAGAAGCTCTGGTCAAGCCCTACCACAATGACAGCATAAAATCTGATGTAATGACATGCATATAAATCTCAGCTCTCAGGAGATGAAGGTAGGAGAATCAGAAGTTTAAGGTTATCTTTGCTTTCTTTCCTGCTGCTAGAATAAAATAGCTCGACAAAAGCAACTTAAGAAGACAGGGTTTATTTGACTCTCTACACCAGGCTACAGCCCACCATGGAAAGGAAATCAAAGCAGCAGAAGCCTGAAGCACCTAGTCCTATCCCCTCCATAGTCCTGAGTGGAGAGCAATGAATTAACGCACACATGCTAGTAGACAGCACACTGACTCCACTCTTAAGTTCAGAATCCCCTTTCTAAGGAACTGTGTAACCCACCATGAGCAGGTTCTCCTGTCCCAGTGGACATAATCAAGACAGTGTCCCACAGACATCCCCACAGGCCAGGCTGATCTAGGCAATCCCTCATCGAGATTCTCTTCTGAAGTTGCTGTAGGTTGTGTCAAGTTGACAATTAAAACTAATCAGCACAAATCAGTCGCATCAGAGAACCAGTATCTCTGAAGGTGTGGTAGCCATGTTAAGAGGGAAAACTAGTCACCTAGCCCAGACATACATGATATATAACGTACGTGTGTGTGTGTGTGTGTGTGTGTGTGTGTGTGTGTTATGTGTTCCTGTGTATACAGGTGAACATGTGAGTGTGGCAGTACACGTGTACTTGTGTGAACATGCATGTCAAGGCCAGAGAACAACCTAGCTGTCACTCCTCAGGATGCCATCTACCTTGCTTTTTATAACAGGGCCTCTTGTTGACCAGACACTCACCAATTTAGCTGGGCCATCTGACCTGCAAATCCCTGCATCTACCTGTCTCTGTCCCTTAGTGCTAGGATTGCAAGAGCCTGCCACCATGCTCAGCTTCTTCTCATGGGCTCTGAGAGATCAAACTTGGGTCTCCATGCATGTATAATGAGTATTTCACTAGCTTGAGTTGCTCCCTGACCCCTCATGTTTTTAATGTGTGATTTATCCTGTTATGTTGCCACTGAGCTCTTTCACTGTCTCATGTGACAGTGTGGCCTGAAATGTTACAGTATCCTCAACTCTGAATATTGTACTTCTTTTAAGGTGATCTTAAGAACCAAGACATTTTCCCCACAAACCCAGTTTCTATATTAAATGTTATTAAGCCAGGAGCTGGCATTGTGTACACATAACACCTGCCGGGGTGTGGTAACTGTACGCTGTCTGAATAGATCACTGTTTGATGTGGCTTGGCATTGTTGCACAGAGATTCAGTGCAGCTGTATTGATTTCACTCTGAGCTCTTTGATGTAGTGATACAATGTTTTTTTCTAAATGGCATTTAAAATATATTTTTATGGCCTTGGCACTTACACACTTGATTTCACAGCTGTGAGAAGATACCCTGGTATATGTCTCTTCTTCAGCACAGATTATTTAGCTATCAGAGTGATTCCTTTCCTGGGTCTGCAGTCACAGCAGCCAAGCTCTGTAGCCCTGTAAGAAATGGGCTAGATACCCTGCCTTTATCATTTTTATTCTTAATTATATTGTATTTGAAATTCTAGAAAGCGTTCATTCACTTCCAACTACTCTTGGGGGATGGGTCCTAGGATGCCTCTCAAGTATCAGTGTCTATGGGTGTTTGAGTCCTCTGTGCAAAATGGTGCTGTGTACACAGGTAACCCAGGCTCACCACACAAATACTTTAACCCTTTAACCCATTTCTATATCTCTAGTAGCATGATACAGTCCAAAAACAATGTAAAAGGTTCCTAGTCTGCTTGCTCAGGAAACAATGAGGGTACAGCCAACTGCATCCAATACATCCTTTCAAATATTTTCTATCTGAGGCTGCTTGAGTTCACAGACTCATCTATGCAGAGGGCTGGCTATGCGTAAGGCATACACACTTACAGAAAGTCTGATCTAATAGACATTTACTCATATTTTCCTCAAAAGCTTGTGGTCGATGTAGCTAATACCCCCTCCTCAGTTGGTGTGGATTCTTCTTACGACACTGCGCATGTCTTATTTTGCCAGACAGGTGTAAGTGTTGTATTAGATGTCTGTTGCTGCCTAACAGCTTTCCCCTGAACTTGGCTACTCTTGATTGTGGTTCCTAGTGCAGTTTCTAAGGATACAGCTATCACCTGCCTCCATCCGGCATCAGCTGCTGCTGCCGCCAAGATCACTCACTTGGTTGTTGGCACGAATCCCTCATTTGCTACCATGAAGGCATTGTCACAGCCTGCCTAAGTATCCTCAAAGCAGCACTTGGTCCCTCCCTAAATGACTGCCCCAAGAGGGGCCGCCATGAAACCCTTAAGACATAAGCCAAAGTCTTTCTTTACCCCACTCTCAGTGGCAGTGCTATAGTGTATGCCCTGCTCTGTTGGTTCTACAGTGTAAAGGAGAGGGCTACGTGGATTAAATATCAGGAAGTGGATCTCAAATGGAAAAGCCTCTTGAATTCTGTCTACCATAAAAAGGCAATGATTCATTTTCCTTGTCAGTTTGGTACGGCCTGCAGTCACCAGGGAAGAGCGCCTCCACAAGAGTCTCTAGGTCCGGTTGTCCTGTGGCATGTCTGTAGGAGATTGTCATGATTATATTAGTTCAGGTGGGAAAGCCAGCCCATTGTGGGTTGTATCATTCCCTTGGTTTCTGTCCTGGACTGTGTAAGTGTAGAAAAGGGGATTGGAAGCAAATAGACAAATAGACAAATAAAACCCATTCTCTTTCTGCTCTTGACTGTGGATGAGATATGACCAGATGCTCCAGGTTTCTGCCTCAATCTGAAATAAAGGACTGAGACTCTAAATTATGGCAAAATAAACCCTTCCCTGGCATGAAGACACTAGTCCTCACATGAACCTCAGGTCAGGGAATGGCTCTCCTACACCCCACTGCATGTTTAAAATCTGGGATGATATGAGCACACTGGTCCACACCCATAGTCTTTGCTATTTGAAAAGCTGAGGCAGGGGCATCCATCCAGACAGGAGTTTGGAGTTAGTCTCCATAACATTGCAAGCCTGTCTATTTAAAAAAACAACACTGATAATATAGCTCAGTGATAGAGTGTGTGCTTAGCAAATCCGAGGCCCAGTATTCAACCCCCAGGAACAACCTAGCTAAATAAATAGTAGGAGCTGCACTTTAGCCTCCATCTGTTTTAAGTCCCCACAGAACCAACCAAAGGGATGGAGGCAAAAGTTATGGGAGCCTCCAATATTTCCCAGTGCCCTTCTTTTGGCTTTATAACTTTGGGCAGCTCCTAGTTTATAGGATTCACTCAGGATTGCAGAGGAGCAGTGAGGAGAAGCCCTTCACCAGAATCCCTGAGGCTCCAAGAGCTTTTCCAAGACTGAGTTTGTAGACTTCCTGGCTTGTTTTCTGCTGGAGTACAGCAGTGTAGACGTGGCTCAAGGTCACTTGGGGGAAAGTGCCTAGATAATCTCCTTTTATTTGTGTGTATATGTAGAGCGTAGGTTGTATGTAAGTGTGTATGTGTGCAAACTAGTACATGTACACATGGGTTCTCATGCTTATGGAGGCCAGAGGTCAACTCCATGTGTCTTTTTGTCACTCTGCATCTTGTTCTTTGACACAGTGCCTTTCATTGGTCTGGAACTTGCCAAGTAGGCTACATGGCTGTTGGACAAGGCCCAGGGATCCACCTGTCTCTGTCTCTCCAACACTGGGATTATAACAGCATGCAACCACACTGGGTTTTTGGTTTGTTGGTTGGTTGGTTGGTTGGTTGGTTGGTTGGTTGTAGGAATCGAATCCAGGTCCTCATGCTTGCTTATCCAACACTTTGCCATCTGAGCCTTTCCCCAGACAGTTTTTTTTCTGCTGTCCATGCCAATTCAAACCCCCAATGCTGCTGAGAATCCCTAGGTGACTCTGTGCAAATATGGAACTGTGCCAATTAGCTGGATACTGTGAGCAATGTAGAACTGACCCTCCCAAGTCTTTGACTTATTCCTAAACAGATACTCTGGTCACTGGGGCCCCTTCAGCTGACTCCACATTGCCTTGTACAAGTGTCTTCAGCTAAGCAGATAATAATGATAGAGCTAAATTGACAGCTCTGGTGTCTGAATGCCTCCAGGGCTTCTGAAATACCATCAGCCTCTTTTTATAGACAGAGACATTTAGCACCCAAGAGCTATATAGATTTCAGCTCATACAACTTGAAACACATTGTGGATTATGGCAGTCATTCCATGGAGTTTTTCTTGCTGCAGGTTGAAAGTGGATCATCTGGTACAGCTCATGTTTAAAAATAGGGATGGTGGTGTGAAGATGAGCCTCGGAGATACGCCTGTACTTATCTACTTAGAATATTGTCAAAGACATCAAAGCTAAGAACCTCTGGCTCCACGTTGTACAAATGAAAACCCTGACCCCTATGGATAGTCTGTGCCTACTATAGAGAATACAGGCCCTGAGGATCAGGAGAAGGCTCATCCGGTAAAGTGCTTGCCACACAAGCATGAGGACCTGAGTTCAGTCTCAGCACCCTTGGGTGTAATGCCAGATTGGGGGTGGGGAGTCAATAGGAGGATTCCTGCAGGATGTAGGGAGGAAAGAAGAGAGAGGAGGGGGCTGCCTGTGTATCTAGAACCCTTCTAACTGCAGAGTAATAATCCAGAAGTGATTTTCTGCAGGGAATTTCTTGATCACAGATCTTCAGTTTGGTAAGGCCTTTTGTTTCATTTTATGTCACATGTGGGGAGGGGATCTGACAAGCATTTTTAGTAAAA